AAAAACGCTTGGAAGACTTGAACTTGTCTAGAAAGGAGTAATTATTCACATTCCTCACAACTCGTTTCCCTATCCAGTAAGAAGCTGAACCCCCGTGGGAAGACACTAAGCGATCTGCTCTCTGCCTTCAGATTTAGGTCTAAAATTGATCCAAGTATGGTATATTTTTTCAGAAGCTGGTGTTTTCTGGTCCTTCCATCAAATGCATCATTCCTCTGAGTACTACAATCTCAGCACTGCACTGCGCCAAGGAGCTGTTCAGGTTCTTTACCACGATTATTCGGAAAAGTGAATCCTAGTACATACGAAAAGACAGTTTGAGACCAAGCAGAATCCTTCACTTCCTTTTGTGGCAAATTCAAGTTCCTTCCGATCGCCCAAGAGCCTTGGTTTGGACGGCACCGCCGTATTGATCGGCTGTCCAGAGGGGCTCAGGATAATACCATTGCGCTGTGCCCTGCCTTGAGAAAATTCTCACTTGATCTCTAATTCAAATCAAGAAATCCGTGTTTGAGATCAGCGTGGGGAACTCTATAGAATCACATAAATTTCGGATTGATAACCTCAAAATTGATTTCCCTTGATCTTCACTATCACACAACTGCGTATACGGTAACCGCCTTGATCTACCGTCGATGCCATCCGTCGATGCCTGCTGGCGCCAAAAAAAAAACGCGTCTCACCGAAATCGAGGGACCGGCAAAAAGGGAGAGACTGTGGCATTGTGGAGAGGACAGACGGCCATACGAGGGGTCGGCGATAACCGACTGCGTCCACACGGTACTGCGGCTTGAATTATTTTCCCGCGCGCGCGGATTTGAATGCAGCAGACTGTGCGCAACCGTTGCAGCTGGCTAGGGTGATAGTACTGTCGATGAAAAAGCTCTGCTGTAGTGTGGAGGGTACAGAACTTGAGAAAGGAGCTGACCTTATCGGAGTCTCTGGGACTAATGTGAGCTTGAAGAGGTGCGCAGATTCCGGGGAAAATAAAAATCGCTCACGTACCCCGGCGCACCCGGCTTCTCTCCTCCCTTTAGAGGCTATTTTGAGATTAGATGCTTCACGTAATTCCAATTGCATTTCCACCACACTGCCTTGTATCTGGCGACAGCGTCCAAAAAGCTGGCAGTTTCCAAAAAGAAGCGCAGTGCAAGGTTGTAAAGGTAGTGTGAACGTAGGAGATCATATTTACAAAGTAAAACTAGCAGCCTAGCGACATTTGCGACGCTTTCACTAGTGCCACACATTGTTACCAAAGCAAGAATACACATGAAGATTTCCTTCGGAAATTTTCTGTTCAAAACTCGATCAAGAACCGTATACATCATTTAGCGGTTTCAGATAAACTAATTTTGAGTATCAAGCAAAGCATGCCTAGTTTTTCTTTCTGTGAACTACGGTGGTGTGGGGCAAGTGCGGTACAGTTGTTCTTGGTTCGGATTGATAGGTGCGTAGCGTTTCTCCTCCTGGGGTCAGGTCACCTAAAATTGAGACGCCGTTCATTCGCTCGGAGCAAGCTTAGGACTAAGCCTAGGCCCAATCATAGGCTTAGGCATAAGCCAATGTGTAAGCATAAGCCTTAACCTAAGTCTAAACCCAAACTTAACCTTAAGCTTCAATGATCGCGCAACTGTGGTGACCTGACCCCAGGAGGGAAACGCACGTCTCCCCGGTTTGAGCCCTGATTGAGCCCTGATTGAAGGTATCACATGTAACCCTGTAGCGTGGATGCACTGCGCCAACTTCCAGAATCGAAAGAATCAAAGCCCCGCTAGCGTAACTTGTAGCGCACTTGCCCGGTAAGCAAGAGGTGCGGGTTTGAGTCCCGTCTCTGACGAGACTCAAACCCGCACCTCTTGCTCACAACCCGGCTTTCTTGTGCAACATTCGTAAAGCTCTAGGGTTAAATCAAGAGCTCACGTCATATGTGATGACCATTCCCTGCCAGGCGGCCGGTACGTCAGCGTCTGAAAATAATCTGCAAATAGGATTAGGAAAATAGGCTGAAATCAATTTAAGCAGGATTCTCTAATTCTAATCCAATTAAGGACATTGCGATGTTGTTCTTCGACCTGATGCAGGCCATCGCCATCCCACCGAACATTTTCATCGTTCACCGCTATCTGAACCTTATCTACCAGTTCTGGCTTCACTCGAATGTAAGTGTTACGGCATAGCAAAGAATAACAAGGGATCAACTTCCTCCCAAAATGTCTATTCATCTGCTAATCTCCATGCGGGAGGTAAGCAAACCAGCCCTTTTGGCGTTTCGGCTGGGACCGTATGCTGAATGTTGGGGAGGGGATGGGGTCCCCAACGGTCGACGGTTTACTTCAACTCGGTTGGTACGATAGGAGAGTACTGACGCAAGTGGTGCAGCTGGTCCAGCAGCTCCGCCAGAAGGGCTGGTTTGCTCACCCCAGGACTAAGCCTTGGAGAGGGGACGGACCCGTCCTCTCTTTAAGGCTTAGTTCTGAGGTAAGCACCAAATTGTGGCGGTTCTAAGGACCGAGTTGAAGTGGTCCGTCCACCGTCGGGGACTCCATCCCCTCCCCAACATTCAGCATACGGTCCCAGCCGAAGCGCCAAAAGGGCTGGTTTGCTTACGTCCTCTGCCTTGCTTCACCGAACATCACTTCTACGGCGGATAACACCCACGCCTTTTTATCCTTTCCTTTTTGCTTTGCACGCACTTTTGCCGGGACGCGTGGTTGAACTGTGACATATGCATGCGGTGCTCAAGTATGTAAGCTCATCACAAACGGGCCTGTTTGTTCCGCTTCGAGAATATGATGACTCCATAAAAGATTACTCGCCACCGACGTCCCTTCGATCCTCAGTCTCACTATGTAGGATGTGCGGAGGGACAGTGACCCTCTGCCAGGGGGACTCTTGAGAAGCCTATTCTCCCGGAGATGAACATATATAAGCCAGCAAATTCGATTGGAAATCTCCAAAACAGCACTTCAGGCTGTACCATACCTCGGCCCACTCGAGTACTTCTTCAACACACCTTCCAGCCACCGGGTCCACCATGGAAGAAATCCGTACTGTATCGACAGGAACTATGGCGGCACCTTGATTATATGGGACAGGTGAGGTGGTCGTTTGGTATTTTGGTAACAAAATTTGTTCGAAGAACGTTAATATAGCCATGAAAAAGGATTATTTGGAAGAATTGGTTTTTAGAATAAACTAAATAACTTTACGGTTCGGGAAGTTCTGGCAAGTAGTACATCTAACCTATGATTAGTTATGGAGTAGAATGGGACACTGTTTAACGCTACTCTCCATCGAGTGGGTAAAGGCACATTCCGCGATCAAAATTTAGGACTAGCTCGAAAATATAGAATTATTCGTGGAAAGAGGACCGTCAGAAAAAAGCTGTCAAAAAGCAAATCAAACAATCGAGAACATGAAGAGATAGGGCCTTTCTTATTGTTTAGTTTTTGACATACGACGGCGAGAAGATTGTGGGGGGAACGAGAATATGCGAGAGAGTACGCCGTACGAGAGGGCACAGACATGTTGCACTGGAGCAAGAGCGCCAGTCACCTCCGGTAATCAGCACTGTAGACAGTGTCCTAACGCCCTCACATTTTCGAGCCTTAGGATTAGATAGCAGTGCCGCAGGTCTCGCTCCATCTTCACAGAAGGAGTTATTCCATTTAGTAGTGGAATACTACTCTGACGAATGCTTTCAAACGTTTCGAGGGTTAGTACCCATGCGTGGCACATTCTAACCAGATCGCTCGTTTTGCATTTTCCGAAAAGAGCTAAAATGAAGCCATTTTCAGACTTTTCGGCACCTATGAACCAGAGCGAAAGGGCGAAGAGATTGCGTACGGATTGGTCACGCCCGTGGCCTCGTTCAATCAGCTGTGGTGCCAGGTTTGCACGGAACTGGTTCTCTCTTCATGAGGAAGTGAATTGCGGTGAACAGTCGTTTTCAGTTTTTCGAGTTCAAGGCCATCGGTTATGACAAAGGTCAGATGAGGAACGAGAAGGGCGAGGAACTGTTTCCGGGTGTATGGAATAAGGTGAGAGCTCAGGTCATTAGAAGACGAACTTTTTTCAGGATAGAGCAGCTGTATTCTCTTCTACGGAAACGTGGGTTGAGCAACAAACGAATAAATCCCGAGTTATAGGTGAAAGCAGCTCTCTGGCCGCCGGGTTATTTTCCAGGAGTACGAACAAAGCCATTCTTTTTATGGCTATGCATGGAAGACAACACTGAGGGCATACCTGAGGTAGATTTCCTCTATGTACAGTTAACCACACAGTGGCCAAGTTGAGCAAATCTGTATTGTATTAAAATTTACTGCAAGGAGTCGAGCAGTAAAAGCGCCCAGAGGGCAAACCTTCGAAAATCCTCAAAAGAGAGTCAGTGCAAGATCGTTTGTGCAGGAATGAGCATCGTTGGCCGCTATAATCTCCACTGACGGCACCCCTTCGTTACTACCTGTTGGTGCAATGGCTGCTCTTCATATTTTCCTTTCTGCAATTTGATAAGCTCCGTTTGTTCCTTTGCTGGCCGGAATTCGTTTGCCGAGTCGGCCTGTTGATCGCCTACCTGCAAATGTTCGGTTACTACTTCGACCACAGGTTCGTTCTCAACTGCCGGAAGCAGATCTGGGTTTTCTGCTTCTGATAGCAATTTTTCAGCCGTTTCTCACTGGTCTTTGACTCGACACGGTTGGCACTGTCTGGATTGCTAGGATTACTTCCTGAACGACTGGTCGATGACCGTCTACAGTTTGACGTCGTTGGCGGTTGTCTCGTGGCTCGCATCAGAAGGCAAAATATCCGCAGTTGGAAAGAAGATTGAAAAGAATTCCTAATAACTCACTCAGTATATGATCTCATAAATTGTATTATTTGTTGGAGTGTTCAGAAAAGAGAGATAGTGGAGCACCGAAAGTGCTGAGACCTCAAAAAAGACATGTGGGTGTCCAAAAACTGCCAGCATTGGTACTTGCAGGTAAATTCTCGCATTATTTCTAACTACGGGGTTACTTATTTGGCTAGCCTAGGGTTCGCACTGAATAGTGCACTACGTGCATTGTGCGTGCATTACGGAGTAGAAGAGGGTGTGGGTCAGGGGATTCGCTTCGTTACCTAGGTTATGGAGGATGGTTTAGGAAGACTATTATCACCTATCTAAAGGATTATTTGCAGTCATGTGTCGTATATAAGGAAGTCGGATCCAAAGTTATCTAGTGGGGCGAGAATGAGGGTTACGATCTTGGCCTGGATTTTCGTAAGTCGTATAACACGCTTGAAAAGAACGTGTGATGTAGTAAATAAGTTTACGTTTGAACACGAACCAGCGCAGCGCGATTCTGGGCCTTCTCCGCGGCCCGGGCCAGAACGAATGCCATTTCACATAGCATTTTTCGAGTGGAGCCCTGATCATTTTCAATTATTATCCTTTTAAAGGGTGTTAGCTTCCATGCTTGTTGGTATGAAGATGGGAAACAACTGAACTCACTCCTAGGGACTTTCATGAACGGGAGAATGGAAACGGACGGCATCTCATAGAGGTTTTGAAAGGTGTCTGGGAAGAGACAACCGCTACTGGACGTGGTTTGAGAGTTCGCCATAGCATGGGATGTCATTCTTGCGATTTGTACTCATGTAAAGAACTTCCCTTTGTATCCGGCGGCTAGGGAATTCTGCGCTACAGACTCTACAACACAAGTGACGACGGCTACTAAGTAAATCTGATAACTAGTAGTTTGCAGTGATCGCTGATAATTGATAAGTGATAGCTTAATTGGTAACATGTGATAGACGACGACTGTAAGGGCAAATCATTTCGTTTGCAGAAAACATTACCTTTTGTGAAGATTGTCGTCACATGCTGTTGTAATGCAGTGCGATGCACACTTGGCACACCCGGATACAGAGGGAATATAAATTGTCCTGGCAACATCAATCTCGTTTTTCATAAGGATGATGAAGTCCCAGTCGTGAAAGAGATGATTATCTCCCAATTTCGTCTTTCAGGTAAGATTAAATCTCTTCTGGAAGAAAAACTTGAGGAATTTCAACGGTAGACGCGCAAAGAACCCCAGTTCCGGCAGATGGTGTCTGGAAACCGGTAAAAGACCACCAGAGCAGTTCCTTTTTATGGTGGGGTCGAGAGTTGGACGCCGACGAGTGCGCAACCCGTTTCATGCCAATTCGAAATCGATCAATCGTGCATTCGGTCGGGGGAGGACGACGACGATCACGCTGACGACTGCTGACGGTCGGCGCACAGAGGCGTCGTGACCACGCTTTCCTCCGAGACTTTCGTCGTCTGTACTGTCGTGACACTCGGATGCCTTCTGCCATCCCACGGACGGACCGACCATGTCCAGACGGTCCCATTCCTTTCTGAACGCGGTCAGCTGATTTTCTTCACTTCTCACAATTATTTTCCCTTTGACAGCTCACAGCCTAAAGCATTTCTTGGGAAGGACGCGAGAAACACTGAGCTCTCTGACTGACTGGGTCCCTGCAACAATGAACAGTGGGAAGGAATTACCAGTTGGCAATGGCACTCCAGTTCACTTGACAAATTGAAGAACTTTTCTTCTTATTTCCATGGCTTCCCTTCTTGTCCTGGTGCCTCATATGCTTGATTTCCTTCTGGTGTGTACACGAAAAGGCTATATATAGCTTTCGAAGCACGTGAAATCTGCGCAAGCATTTCTTGGTCCGTCATGATTCTGTTGAGCGCGACTTAGCTCAGTACCTTAGTAGTGAATATGAATCGTTTCCGTCGCGGTTGTTCTCGGCCTTTTTCAACTCACTTGACTCGCTCTAGCTTTTGACATCGCTGCCTTATCACACTGAATGAACTTTAAAAATCATAACATTAAACAAACGTTGTCGCTGAAATGCCGGCGGCCGATTCGATCTCCCGAAGAGTTTTCCACGGTAGAGAATGTTCGTCAGCAGCAAAACCTTTTTGATTAGATTGGCATCATTATTCATGAGAAAGCGTAGCGAAAACATAACGTTCAAAGCAAATTCCGTGATCAGAGAGCGTTTAGCCTAATAAGGTGGGCGGGCAGTTTCCTAAACTGAAACTGTAGAACTCTCATGCGGTTAGAGACCACCTCGGTTGGAGGGCGATCCTCCAGAAAGCCTAGATATCCTTCCCCTTCGTCCTTCGGCAGCAGGACATGGAAGATGCTGATTGCATATGGCAACCAAATTAAGTCTCCGTAGGCGCCTCAGAGCTCACGGCATACCTTGCAGACAGTCCAAACTCCTCAGCTTCTCAGTTTACCCGTCACCAAGGGTCAACCGTCACGCCTGGCGACCAATTCGAACAATTTTGACGAATCGCTTTCCATCCTTCTTTAGAAGGGCCTCGTTAGACCCCAACCCCCCAGGGTTAACCCTTCGACCTATCCTCCTCGCACCAGCCCTCGGCACTTCAAACAACTCCCAGCCGATAACAAACTATTCCGTTTCATTTCTATGAAAAATCATCTGTCCCTTACTACATTGACGCTACCTAAACGACCCCCTCTCTTTTCCACCCCTCCCCCCGTTGGACAAGTCAATGGACACGGTTGTCGATGCAGTCGCATGCGCTTGCTTGCCTGAAGGTGACGAAGCGCGTTTGCATTGAGTTCAGAGTGAATCCAAGGTCTGATCGCGTCGGCAGGACAAAGGAGGTTGTAGTTATGCTTTTCGGAAGGCTGTTAATGGGGGAAGTGGAGTACACCCGGCAAAAAAGTGACCTCTTCCCCGTTCGACGGCATTTTTAGGGAAATTGGATGTGCGGCAGAGTTGGAGTATGCCGGGCTGGACTTGGTTCAAGGACGCTATTAGAGCTATCGATCAGAGGGGTCGTATAGATTATTGGGAGGGAAGCGGGTCTTAGGAAGACCTACACTGAAGATAGGGTCGTACTGCCGCGGCCACTTCCGCGCGCGACGTTTACCCTGATTGGGACTGCAAAGGCAGGAGGTCTGTCTATCGTTGTTACTTTGTTCGAAAATCTTTTGTACGATCCCCGCCCCAACGTGCAACGTGGGATTTGATACGACCCGTTTCCACCTGTTTCCATACCTCCACCATCTCCATCTTCCCTCAAAACCCGCCCATTTTTTCCTCCAAAAATGCCGTCGAGCGGGTGGGGGGTATATAGTCACTGTGAAACGGTAAATATCTCCAAAAATTTCCCTCTATTTCCACCACACCATATCCCCGAATTTTAAAACGCATTTTATCCTGCGCCCCCTACACTCGCCCAGCCTACTACCCACGAAATCTTAGTTTCCCTCAATCCCACACGTGATTTCGAGCGACTAAAGTGGGTACGACCCCCCCCCCCTCCTACAAACTCAACCAGGTACGACCCCCCCCCGTTGTTACTCGTAACAACGTAGGGTTGACCCTACTGTAGGCGAGGTGCATGGCAGATACTTCATCGGCAGGCGTGCACTGAAGCATTGTCCGTGCGTTGGTCTGGGTCCTAACCATAAGCTCTCAGCGCCATTCCCACGTGCTTTGGGTGATGCAATGGCATCATCTTTGTGGTTGTGATCCCAGTAGCCTTATTTGCAGGAGGATTTGTACCAGAGCACCTAATTGTGGGTTGCGCCCTCAACAGAGATTTTTCAGATACTATGTGCAGCGGTTCCTCAGCTGTTTCTCGTCTCCTTGTTGACAGGCCTACCTGATCGTCGGTGCAGTGCTCTTTCAGTCCATCGATGAAGAGCTTGCCAAGCGCTCGTTTCTTGACATAATTCAATTCGAGTTCGGAACGCTTACCACTATTGGTAGGACCTTTTTCATAGTATTCTTGTTCAAACTTATAAAATTAGATCAAGACCCTAGCCAGGTTAAGGGCGAAGCAGTTGATTGTTAAGGTTACGGCAACATCAGTCCTACAACGGATTCTTCTCGAATGTTCTGCATACTGTACTCGATTCTTGGCATTCCACTGATACTTCTCACAATGGCCAATTTTGGAAAAATCATAACGAAAGGATACTGGTATTTGATGTATCTCTGTAAACTTGTGAGTCTGTTTATTTGCTTACTTGCTACCCTTCTCGGGGCATGCTCCACAATAAAGCACTCAGCGTTGATAGACCCGTATTCAGAATGCACCCTTCAATACCAATTGAAAATCGCGCTGACTCGGCCTATTAGACGTCTTACTACGGTCAAGAGTCGCAGAAAATCTCCCAAATCCTGCTCTTGTATCACGTAACTGATCACGGAGGGATGGAAAGGTGGCTTAGCTGGGCTAGAGTTAATTCTTACTGCCAATTCCACGGGCTGGTCGGGTAATGTCTACATATTGCTTCATGTCACATAAACGCTGAGAAATCCTTCGTCACTACCCAATTTCCACCCATTTTCCGGAAACAACATCTGAATTCACTGTAACAAGCCATATATTCGAGCATTAGCAGCAGCGCTATTCAGTGCTCGCCCCTTGTCGAGCCCTCTGCCGTTGTGACATTCCAAGCACGAGCACGCGTCCCTCGCCGCTCAGTTTTTCCGTGGAAGCCGTCCGCATCTGTCTATCTGGATCAAGTTCGAGCACCTGGAGTTGCCCACGAAGTGAAGGGGAATGTTTGTGACTGCGGGAAGGAGATCGCGAGTGTTAACACTATTTTCGGCCAAGGCAGGAAGGAACTACTTGGAATTGGGAGAAATTTCAGAGGAGATGTGGAGTTCTCGAATTTTGTGCATTTTAGCGGTTTTTATGCATACCCTACGGGCCCCACTCGACCAACTTTTCAAGATGGAAGTCAGATGAATGGAGGATCATCACAGGGACCTATAGTATGGCTATAGTATGGCTATAGTATGGCTTGGTTAGGGTTGATAGAGATTAGTCATGATTAGCAGAAAATGGGTTTTACTTGTCTTATAGACTTTTACAATGTGATGGTATTTGACCGCACTCTGCCTGGGAGCCCCCTTCTCAAATCGATTTATTGTTTATTTGCTTACATACTTTCCCACACTTCCCAAAATCTTCCCTTTATGGGCGACTCCTACACATATTGCCTGTTTTTCCTCTATTTTTATGTTTTTCATGCACTTGTTGACCTATTTATTGCTCTTATACATCATTCTTAGCATATAATGCGCATTAGAGGTCTTGTACATATGTGTTCCCAGGCAATGGGACCAGTGCTGACAACCTCCCCAATGAAACAGCCATCTACTCTGCACACTTGCCTCCAATACACAGCCCAATTTCAGCCCGTGGCCCGTTCCAAACTCAGCACTGATGCGAACATGCCGCTGCCGATCATTCTTTTGCTGTTCGCCTGCACGTTTTACTTCGGGTCCAAGTTCATCCATCACACCGGCGTTCGACACAGCGTGGACGATGTCTATTTCAGGTAAAGCATTGATCCAATTGCACCTTCACTAATCCAGGAATTTACTCTGATGCAGCAGCATCTTCATGAGATCTTTGTAAGCCCCTCGTTGTCACAATGCCGCATCGCAGCCGCACGCGCGACCGCTGATGGCCAACTTTTTTGGAACGGCTCTGTACTTTAGATACTCCGGTAGTTAAGTTAAATTGAATTAAATGATATAGAAAGTATTTACTTTTGAATTTTGAAAAGTACTTTTGCTATAGAAAATAAGTTCTTGAATGCAGCTGTCCTGTTAAGAAATGAAGGTACCAGTGTCGAATAGTTCTAGCTTATTCCAGCTTCATCAGCTTTACAACGGTAGGTTTTGGCGACACGTTGCCGGTGACGGACAGCATTGGTCGGCTGTGCTTCATGCTGCTCTACCTTACCTGGGGCATCATGCTCACGACGGCTTTGTTTGGTGTGCTGAACCAGTATCTGAGAAAGGTATGCACAGTCCATGCAGCCTGAGCTGATAACCACAGAGATCTCTATTCCCATTCAGGTGCACTACTTGGGTCGACGGTTCACGGGCGCACGTGACGTGCCGGTCTGGATGGGTGGTCAGTGTATCACGGTGTCCCAACTGCTGCAAATCGTCGCCAATGAGTTCGATGTACGGGGGCTCAATCCCAACTGCTCCCTAGAGGGTATCCTAATGATATCCATGTTTCCAGGCATCCCCTCGTGAGGTTCGCTCGATGCTGCAAGATCTTGACGAGATTATCACCAGTGCCACGGCTGAGAAAGGCGAAAACGTGCCTCTTGTCACGGAAATCGAAGATTTTGATGTTTACGAGTAGATCACAGAGGTCGTCATATGTACATAGAATTTGCAAAGTTATAAATATTCAGCTAGCTTGACAGGGTCTTGAAATGGCTGGTGTAGCATTTCATGAGGCAAAGACAGTCGTCAAACACTTCCTGCTAGAGGCCCAGAAATGGTTGTGATATAAAAAAAACAATGCTGTGACGTACAGCTGACTTCAAACGCTCCCAGATTTTTGACGCACGTGAAGCGGCCCGTTTGTGCCGGTGTTAGACTTTGCGAATCGCTGCGTACGAGTGATGTACTAAAACTTGGAACCAGGGTTGAGCGTCACGTTCCCACTTTTTCAAAAAATGTGACCTTTCCCCCCACCCTTTAGGCTAGTCTCGATGCGACCTTCCCCCGCTACCAGCATCAGTCTTAGTTAAAGGCCCCTCCAATATATGACCCCTTCCCTCTCCTCCGTCAACCACCATCATGGTTTGGTATTTGATTTTGAGACCTGTCGACACTGCCCAACCACCTGCTTTTTTCTCTTTTCGTCTATAACGGCTGTCTAGGGGGGGGGGCGAAGCGGGGGAGGGGGAGTTTATTGATATCACAAAGCAAATCTACTAATTTTGCCTAATTCTCACTTCTCACTTCTCACTACTTTCGAAATTTGTCAAAACCCGCATCCAAGTACAACCCCCTTTAACGAGCCCCGTCAGCCTCCGCTCTCACTATGATAACTTTGCTCAACTCCGAAATGTGACAAATCCTCCTGCAATCACAAATCCACCCCATGTTTGAATACTGCGAGGGACGGTTGATCCTGGTTGAAATCGCTTGTGCATCACTCTTACCCCGCTGCTCTCTAGCGATCTGCTGAAATCACGGAGGCTAACACCGGCACTGCAGGGGAACCTAACCGCACATATCCCTCTGGTAATTTCGTCAGTCTACAGAACTGGATTGTTCTGACACCAAGGCCGATGTAGGCTGTGTCGGGTGATGCTCGCGACAAACGGTGGACTCCCATGAAAGTGTAGGGAATGTTTCGTGCCGATAAAAGTGCTCTGAACGGGTTTATGAAGTGTTTCCCCGCACCCTACTCTCCATAGAACAACAACTCATGTTTTGAGAGGCCCACCTACAGAGAAATTTGTCGATTCAGTGAATCTTCCGATCGACACGTATGCACACCATCGAGCGGAATCGCCAAAACTTCGAAAAAAAGGGCTATGAATGTAACCTAATGGTGAGAGGAGCCTTTCATCTCATGGGATCAGAAGAAAATTCGTGCATCGTCTGAAACATTCCCGGTTTTTAAACACCACTCTGAAACGCGACAGAGATTGAAATGCTGTCGTGAACAGACCTATAAAATGTTTTGAAGTTGCAAGGGAGAGAATCCGTGGTTGTCTTTTCAGTGACAACATGGCTTGAGTGAGACCACCATCCGACTTCTGTTTATTTTTGTGCTATAGCACACCCATTAGTGATTTTGAAAAATTCTTCCTAGAAAGCACTACATATGTGGCTTAACCAAATTAAATACTTTCCCAAAACGTCCTCAATAACCTTACAAATATCCCTTGGTTACTAATCCCTTCAGTGATGAGCAGACATTTTGATCTACCGAATCGTTTAAAGGAGTGGGCAGGTCGCCACACTATTTCAATTACTTAAGCACAAGATTTTTTATGAGTGTATGGCACCATTTTCGGTGGTTTTGAAAATTATTCGCGGCGGATGTAACTAATTATTCACACTGATGGAGCAATTTCGGCCAGGCACCGTAAATGAAAACTAGAAAAATGCGGTCTTTCTGGAATGATTGTTACCGGATTTGTTTCCGTCCCACCTCATGAAATGTTCGTTTGAGTTCCTTAGCAAGCATGTGTTGCTCTTTTCACACATGCCAGGAACTGTTCCTGTGGTGCTACTTAAAATTAGTGAACGTTATCTACCAAGTCCAGCACTGATAGGGACTGTTCTGGTGTATGTATGAGCTGGTGCATGCTCGGTGTTATGAGTGGGGGACGTTCAGTTCTCTGGGATCCCGACACCAGAGCTGCGCGGCGACTGAAGCTTAGGGTTGGAACTATACTTAAGTTAAGGCTTGGGCTTATGATTACACGCTGGTTTATGTTTAGGCCTAGGCTTAGTCCTAAGCTTATTACGAGCAAATCAGCGGTGTCCTTTTCTGAGGTGACCTGACCTCAGGAGGAGAACTGCAGCGCACCCTTCATAAGCGAGAGATACCTCTGCTTCTTCAATTATTAGTTCGTATAACTTCGTATTCGATTACACCAAAGAAGAGGAATTGGCGTGTCTGCTTTAGATTTGGGCGTTGGCAATTACATTTATGGTGGCAGTATTGAAAATGAAGTGACTGGACTACGAAAAAGTAAAGTTCTATTTGATCACGTATGCGCGATGATAGTGATGGCAGAGTCCATCACTATCATCGGGCATACATCCCAGATCTGAGTACAAAATTTGTAAAACCGATAAAAGAAGCGTTCCGGTGTACGGTGCAATAGCGTAAAGGTGAGTGGCATCAGTGATAGCTCAACCATCTGCAGCAAATGCACCACCTGCGAGAGCCGTGGCTGTATGCCCCCATCTCGTCTATACATTACAGGAATCTCATAGGTATTGAATCCGATTTTGTGAATTATGTAAATTGAATGCTTCTGTGCTGGACTACAATCCCCAAAAGTTCGTCCAGCACTGTTAAAGAGTCTTGTAGCATTTTTAGGTCAAGTCACGCCTCCACGCAGGTTAGATTTTATTTATTTATTTATTTACAGGTCAATCATAACAATGAGCAAAAATAGTAATTGGACCCGGGATGGCACAAGATTGATTGACTCAAAATTCAATTTAGTGTTTGTGGTAAGAAGAAAAAAAGGCTAGCGTTACCGCACCGGGGTTAGAACAATCGATAAGCAGTTGCCTGCAATGGAAAGTTTCTAATCAGAATTCAACACCCAACAAGCTGTTCTGTTGTAACTGTCGTCAATTTGTAGCCATCTATCTTTGTACCGCTACAGTAGTTAAATGAATAAAGTTTTGTGGTTTTTCCGGCGCAAACCGTACAAAGTGGGCTATGCGATATGTGTCCCAGCTCTTTCGTGGGAAAGGGTGAACGGAGCACCCAACTTGAAGGCCGTTTCTCCAACTCTCCGTACTTCCCCCTATGTGTCTGATACAGCAACATAAGATCGTATAATTGATCAGGCGCGGGTTCTTAAAAGTGCTGTGCATACTTGCTTCCATCAAAACCTCCAAGCTGACTTCGCAACGTCGGATATCATTCCGCCCTTGCCCACAGGTTCTCTTTATCATAATAAAGACCTTTTTGAATAAACCATGCGCAGACATTCATTGTACGAGACAAAATCTCATAGTGTATCTAGCCACCTGGTTCGCGTCTTCTATCGAGTAATTCACAGTTGAAGAGGCAAAATCTTCACGTATCTACTGTTTTTGGAGCATGTTGAATTCGAGGAATTCGGAGTAATCACGCAGCAATTGCCTCAGAGTATAATTCGACAGTAGCCTTTCAGAGATGGATCAAAAAACGCGCTTTTCAAAAAATGGTAGGAAATCCAGCAGCATTAACCATCTTCCCCAATAGCGCATAGCAATATAGGAAATTCAACATTGGCAAAACTTTTCCTGCAATATGTCGACATGTGAGAACTTCCATTTAAACCGCCTGTAAGGTAACACCGTTTCTTCCTGGAACTTCAGGAGAGTTGAAATTATTCGCCAGTAGGTACTGCAATAATATTTCTCGCCATAGCTTGAGACGGTGTAAGATAGCGTCTTATGCAGCCATCCTGCAATCCTGCTATTGCTGAATTACAGCGCGTGGGAGGCAAAAAACGAGCCACCGTGCCCATGGCGCACACCACCAAACATTGCGTTGCGCAGGGTGTCGCTGTGATGGAGATTACGGCAAAGAAATTTCTCAGATATCCCTCCCCCGCATAAACAATAGCAGGGCCTCATTCAGCACTTACCGTCTTCAGATTACGACGTCATCTGACATTAGTGTCAAGCTCAAGTGCTCATTGCAATCGCTCCAGCCTGAAGCTGCTATATAATTTCTTCAATCGATGACTGGTGGTTTTTTAGTGACAGCAGCTCTAACTATGCAGCGCCTCTTCCGATAAGCGTTTCAGATAAAGCCTTATCGGTCTACGCTCCGGGGAGGATCCGTTGAGCTCGAACTGCACACCTTGCTCCAGCGGTAAAATCATCTGATGTCGACTGGGTAGAGGGCTACTATGAAGTTCTTTGATAGACTAGAACCTGCTAACCAATTTGTAGTACGGGCCATTCGGTTTGAATCAAGCGAGTTGTAATGAAATAGAAGGCGGGGTGAGTGACATTTTTATTGCCCCTCTCCTTGTATGGGGTGCTATACCCTCAGAGACAACGAGAACTTCTTTTCTAAGTGAAGCTTCCCTTGTTCATAGAAGGGCCGCCCTGGCACCTAATGCACTGTAAAAAACACTAAATAATTCCAACCCATCCAACCTCTCCAAAATCATACACACCCTTTCATTGTAGGTATCAGCTAGTCAAACTAACAATCGTTCCATTCTGGATTGCACTCATTAGGCGATCTGAAAAATTTGCAATGAATAGGGCTGAGTGAGCGTTTCAGGATTGCTTCGATTGTTTTCACGATCCTCCTTTGTCTTATAATAATTCCTTCATATACGCGACTTCCTGGGAGGAGAACATTTTGATCTACTGGATCGTTGCAAGTGGGAGACCTCCACTCAGCTCATTCCCCATTACATGGGTTTTCATAGGCTGACGAATACGTTTTCGGGAAATTTTTGAAATTTTCCAAATTGAATACGTTCTAGTTCCTCACGTTAGTAAAATGAATTTGGCTAAATACCGTTCATGGAGAATAAGAAAATCGCCTTTCCCGAAGGCAAGATTTTTTAGGCACTACTGTACGATATGGCATGCGT